GGTCGGGAGCGTCCTCCGCCGCCTCGCCCGGGTCCTCCGGCCCGGGAGCGGGGCTGCTCCGCGGCATTGTTCTGCTTCCCCGCTTGCATAACGGATCGCGGCCAGGTATGGCTCATCGCGGCCGGGCTTGCTCATCTCGCTTTCGGCGTGGGGCTTTCCCCCGCCGTGAATGAGGTGGTTTCCTGGGCCGCGGGAGCTGCCTGGGAGTTTCCCGGCGTCGGGGATGGCTGGGCAGCAGCCTGGCCCCTCTCATCAGCCCCGCTTCAGCGGCCGTCGGCCGCCGAGGCGACTCCGGGGGAGCTGGGGTGTCACAGAGGGAAGGCAGGGGCTGTGACTGTGTCACCACACACTTCTGTGGGACCAGATGCAAAGTTAGCCCTCGTTTTCTCATTGCTTGGCGTGGGTATATGTGGTTACTCAAAGCAGCGAGCGATGACAGCTCGACAGTTGGGTTGCTTTGAAATACAGTGGGAGAAGGCGTGCAGAGCGAAACGGGAGAGCTTCAGGTTTGTCTGTCTTAGCAGGTCCCTGTTGGAAGAGAGCAGTTACCAGTTACGGGGGGTACCGCTCATTCTGCTTCACCTCCTGCGGCCTGAGCGGGGGCGCACACATGCCATGTGGTGTGGTGGAGGAGGGGGAAGGAAGAGACGGCACGTGAGGCTCTTTTTTCGGAAGCCTCTGGAAAAACAAGTAAAAAACTCTTTGATCCTATAAGCAACAGTGAGCAGGTGCAGGAATCCCTCTGGGAAGGCAGGGAGATTTTAAAAGCCCCAACAAATTTTAGCTAAACAAATTTTCGGTCAAGGATATGTCCTCAGAGGTACTCTGTGCAAAAAGAAAAAGGTGGTTGTATGCTTGCTCAGAACTCCCTGTGCTCAGCATTTTGACTTGTGATTTCTTCTTTGACACCAGGGGTGCCTGCGCTGGAAACAGCTTTGCTAGGAAATCCAGACGGAATGGGATGAGCCTCGGGTTGGCCATGTAGCATTCCAGGGCTGCTTCTGGTCTGTTCCCTTTTCCTTGCCGGGATCTTGCGGTGTTACTGGTAGTTCTGCCAAAAACAGCCCAGCTAGATGTGAAAAAGGAAGTGTGCAGTGCTCGGAGCTAGTTTTCTGGCTGCTCCTGTCATCCTTTTTTTAGGCTTTTTGTATCAATTGCCATGTATTGCAGTGAAGTGTTCAGCAGCAGCAGCAAAGTGCCTTGAATTTCCCAAGTTTTAGGCAAGCACCTGAAAGGTTCCTGTTACCCCAAACATGTTTGTAGGGTCTCGTTGTGCAAAGGGAAGAGTAGGTGGCAGTCTGTGCTTGTGGGATGACAGGCCTGCGGAAAGGCCAGAGATCGAGTGGGACTTCGCGCTTTGCGGTCAGATGGTAGTGTACAAGTGTCAGGCCTGTGCTTTGAAAAAGGGTCTGTAGGGCTTGTGCTTTGAAAAAGGGTTTAGTGGGGTATGAAAAGCTTTAGAAGTTGCCCTAGGTACTGTTTCTCAGGCTTTCATAGCAGTATCATTCAGAGCAGTGGAAGTACCCTTTTAAAGCCTCGTCTCTTACCTGTGCTGCATGTGAGCATGAAAAATACCAGTGTATTCTTGTTGTTTACTAGTCAGAAAGCATAGGTATTTTCTTAGTGAAAATTTCAGCTGAAATGATGTCTGCAGTGGCTTAAATTGAATAAGCAGGGGCTGTCACTTTTCTGCAAGTTAACTCTGGTTTACATAAAATCAAGGAAGTATTAAAACACCCTTGATCAGCTATAAAGCTAACTTTAAGGGTAGCTTTAAGAATCGTTCTTCCTTTCTACAAAACATATCGTGTCTGACAGCTGCGTGAGTACTGCTCCGGCACTGCTGCGTCTTAACTGCTGTCTCACACAGGGTGCTCCAAGATGTTTTCAGCTGGAGAACTGGGAAAACGGCGCTTGAGGAGGGCCATCCTGGGAGCAGTGGCAACCACCACCATGCAGTTGCTCGTGTGCCTGCTCTGCTCTCCAAATCCCAGGTGTTGGCTGCTTGTTGTAAATGAGGGTAGGAAGTAGGGCATTTCAGGTAGCTGGGCAAAGGTCCTTCTGATTTTTATTTTATTTATATTTTGCTCCAAAAGTGCAATTTTGCCATTGTAAGGAAGCACCCTCTCATTTGTTGCCAGTGGTGTAGCACAAAAGCTGAAATTACTGCCTAGCAGAAACAGGATCAAACTCACAGGAGAAAAGAAGTCATGTTTTCACTGAATTGTAAAACTAAGGTAATGAGTGTGTAGGCTGAAGACACGTTTTTCTCCCATTGTTCAAAGCTTGTCTTCTTGCTTTTGGGTTGTGACTTTGGCAAGTATGAGCTTGATGAACATTAAAAGCTCTAGCAGTACGTTCATGGGAAAGAGGAGTGGACTGTGTGTGAATATTGTTATTTTTATAACGCGTCGCGTGTGTGATGTTAGTCTGGATGGTACAACAATAAAAAGCTATTTATGACAGAAGTATGAAGACCAGGGCAGTTGCAAAATATTCTTGTTTTCCATATCTCTCACTGAATTATCTGTATTAATGTAGGATTATCAAAGCCCAAATTGTTGTTCCGGATGTTGCAGATATTGCTGTAACTACTGACCTTCAGCGTCACAAGTTCCCATGCTCACCAAACTTCTTCAAGCTCTGGCTGGTAGTTCAGTTGCAGAGTTAGCAGAACTTGGGTATATTTCTGATTTACTTCATCTGTGTTTTGTTGTCGGCTTTTTTTTGTTTTATTGCTGGCTCAGCTTGCTGGTGATGAGGGCTTTGAAGGATGGATAGGAGGGTTTCTTTTTTAGGTCCATCCAAGAAAGAGAGAATTCAGTCCAGTGTTTTTCGTGTTTAAACAGCCATTCTGTTGTAGAAAGTGTTTTGAGTTTAAAAAGCCTTATACTCCATACTTCATGCAGTTGAGAATAGCACTTTTCACATCTTTTTTTTTTCTGCTGGTGGTGATGAGGATTATTAATAACTGTACACTGTAAGAGTATTTCTCTTTTCTAACTATTAACCCATCTTTGAGCTTGCGTGTTCATTAAGTAGCGGGTGTATTTTTATTTGCTTGTAGCATTTGCTCTGTTGATTTATCAAAGGTACAACTGTACAGCAGTTGAATTTTTATGCATTCTGTTGTTCAGGCATCAAATCCGTTTCAGTGGAAAGTTAGAAAACATGTGCTATGATTAAATTTTTAAAAGATTGGATAACTTTTGGCCTGTTAATAACATGAGAAGGAGGGTGAGCTGGAAAACCCTGGAAAGGGTATCTGGTGTTTTGTTCAGGGAAGTAGAAGAAATTGAAGTCCTGCTAAATTTCATGCATTTGTAATTTATTTTTAATAATAATAGTAACTATTTACCTGTCACAGGCTCTCTGTGCCTATGACAAGTTCTCAGCTCCTTTGGGGCACTGGACACTGTTGGCATCCTAAGGCTGTGGATGCCTTTTTACCTCATCACTGACATGTGGCAATTGCCATTACAACAGCAGCATTAAAACATGAACTGAAAACTTGCTCCAAGGCATCTGCATAGTTACGATTCCAAGGAATAAATGATTGGCTTCTCATTACCTGTTGGTGTCTGACAGCATTGTTCTTGGCTTACTAAGCATGCGCTTTAGTCTTCGTCACTACTCTGACTTGGAGTGTGGTGGGGTAAGAGTGAAAAACAATCTTTACTTGTGAATTTAAGCGTGAACAGAATGGGGTAAGCACGGGTGTGCAAGCCCCAAGATTTTCAGTGGTGACTGCAGAGTGTGTAGCTGTTTATCTGGCCAAATAGAGTCATGTCACACACCCCTTTTGTAGCAGTGTGAGTAACTACATGCTTTCCTTAACTTCTTCCCCCTCTCTCAACCCATAGCTTAGAATCGGAAGGGCCACTGAACGATTTAGTTGGACTTCTGAATAGGCCTAAGTGTCACCTGCATTTTAGTCCCATGACTTGGTTCGCTTCAAAAGCGTGTCTTGCCTTGTATTGAAAGAAGTTAGGCAAAGAATTCATCGCCTTTCTTGCAAGTTCCAGCCAGAGTCCTACAGTTGCTACCATTACAACTGATCCCTGTGTCAGTGAATAGATTTGCCTGTGGGGATTTTACATTTACTTCAGGTAACAAATGAAAACATCAGCCAGCATCAGTCTTTGCGATTTGCTTGGGATCTTGCCTGATATCTAGTGTACTGGCAATGCCTGAAATTGGTGATGGTGATGACTCCTAACAGATGCCACTTTGTAAAGATCTCTGAGGTAGCTAATTTGAGTTCATTTGTCAGCTTATTGGTGCAGGACGATTGTGGTACTGTGAGAAACTCTAAAGAAATATGTAAGCATCTTCAGTATAGATAAACAGAAGACACATTTTCAATAGCTGAAGAATGAAATCACACTCTTTTTTTTCTTCCTAATTGAAAGAAGACAGAGGATCACACATACAACTTTTTTTGAAGATAATGCCATGTTTGTTCATTTATCAGGTATTTAATATCCTGTAGTCAAATTTGAATCACTCGGTCTCTTGAACTACTGCATTCATTTGTAAGTTTTGCTGGTTTCATTGCAAAATAGCGGTATTCTGCAGAAGAAAATATTGTTTGAAAATCATTGTTTATGAGCTATTGAAATCAAAATATGTAGGTAAAGAGAACTAAATAGATTATATCATCTCGGGCAAATGTGTATAAACTATCGGAATGTTAGCATTTGCTATCTACAGTAAATATCTGCTTAGATACACAATTAGGTGAACTGTAAACACTGAGGCTATTTGCCTTTGGAATGCCCTATGTAAAGCATGCTGTATTATTTATGAGGGAAAAGTCCCTCTTCTAATTCCTGCAAAACTTCAAAATTAGGAGTGTGTTGTGCTGTTGTTTTTTTCTTCTTTTTCCAAAAATCAGGTTTTTTGCCCCTGCTTCTAGAAAATTCTTCGAGGCCTTTAAGTAGAGTAGAAGAGGGAGATAGCACAATTAGATTTTTGGGAGTGAAAGGTTAAAAAGACCAATCACCTATTTTTTTTGTATCCCTGGCACCCAGCCACTTGTAATAGCAGTGTGAACTCACAGGTGATTTTAATTCTTCCATTACTTGCCAGAAAGGATGTTAATACAGAAATTGCTGCCATTAGGTTTCAGCATTTGCATTTTCTTTTTGGAAGTTGAAATCGGAGACCATTGCGCTCAGCTAGACTTTCTACATAACTTTGGGTTCAGGGTTTGAGTCTTTTTTTTTCTGTTGTTGATTGCTTTTTTCTATTAAGCATGTATGTGAGCTATAACACAGTTTTTAGATACATTTTTCAAGTGATGAAGAAACTGTCCAATCCAACTACGTTGTTTCATTAGTTATCTAACCTGAGGTTAGAAACTTGTTTGGATGACCAATTCTTTTCTGTGAAATTGAAGAACTCTCTTCCCTTTGCTCTACGTAACTACTTAGGCCCTACTTTAATAAATGGCTTGTACTAAAATTTATTGTTACAAGGCATAATCTTCAGACATCTGCATCAA